GACATATTCCATTTCTACTAAATCAAGTAGGGAGAGATAATATGTAGTACAGGACAAAGCAATGCACAATTCCGAAGGTTAACAGCCACTGGCTCAGCACAGACGTCAGTCTCAATTGCAGCATCTGCTAAAACACGAGACTGTGCAGTCCCCATGGAAGGGTTTCAGGCACAACTGCATTAGTCAGGAGAAACACTAAGAAGATAATATGCAGTCCATCCCATCAGTGTTCACATAAACTCAGACAGAGTTCACCCCTGACACCCCCACAAAAAAGCTAGCAGTCTCTTTTTCCAAGATCCACAAACTCAGGTGCGATGACCTAGACACCACAGCAGGTCCAGACCTGAGTGAATACGCAGCAGACTTCCTCCAGGAGAGGATGACAGTCTCCTGCTTCCACTAAGACCCTTGTTCCTGGTGGGCACCTGAGGGTGTGGCACTGGGGCAGCATAGAGTAAAGGGGACCTTCTCTTCCTGCCTTGTTTTCTCTTCACCGCCTTGTGTCTGTGTACTTTAAAGCACTTTGGTCATAACTCTGAAGCATGCTGTTCCTGTTTCAGAGCAACCCCTTGGGTTCAGCTACCTGGCACTGTCCAGTGAGCCTTTGCTTAAAGCATCTACAGTAAAGAAGAGCTGAAGAGTAGGAAAACCATCACTCAAAGACAGGAGGCCACCTCTCCACGTGGTGCCAGTGATTCTGTAGGAGGCACAACAAATGGGCACTGCTTTCTGAAATTAAACTATGATCTCCCAATTATGCATCTTTTATTGCCTAAATTCACAACTCATGCAATTTTTTTGTACCAGGGTTTGAACTCAAGAGCTTATGCTTGCTTAGCAGGTGCTTGTGCCGCTGAGCTAAACCCCTGGCCTCGTGTCTTATTCTTTATTGGAAACTGTTTTTGTCCTTTAACTTGACATTCACATTTCTATCTATTTTAATTATTTTGATGCATTTCATGCATATTGTCAGAATTCAGTTTCATTTGTAGAGAGTGGATCAGTGGAGATGAGGGTAGATTGGACAGGTCCGTGAGTGCCTTATTTTTAGTGGTTGTCTAGGAAATAAGCACTGAGGCTTAATAAATAATAGAGCTAAAATTCCCTTGTGGTAATACAGAAGACAAAAAATAACTTTATGAAATTTGACTAATATTAATAACATTCTTATAATTCTTATTAGTGATCATCTTAGAGTCTTTACACCACTTTATTTCTCTCAGGTGACACAGAATACAAAGTCTCTTAAACATTGTTTTGAATTAGTAATTACTGCAGACTGAGAATCTGACCATTCAAGGCTCCTTAACAAGGCTATGTAAGACCTTTTAATATTTTTTTCTCTTAACAATAAAAAATGTAACAGTTTTCTAAGGTGCATTCCAAAACTCATAGAGCTGTCATTTAAATTTCAGTCTGTCTGCATTTAAAATTTATATATTATAGCTAAATATGAGTCTTCTCTTTAGAACATTCTATATCATATATTTTATTTACTTTTCTGTCCTACTCTCCAAAAAATAAGTAGTTTATGGAACTTCTAATTTTCATACAATCACAATTGTCCCCTCGTTTGCCCAGTTTCTAGGATGCCTCTCTCCTTGTTTCTATGATTTTAATTACAATTTATGTCTTAAAACCTCCCATTATATTATATTTCAAGTCTTCATCTCCACTAATGTGCTGCCTACCCTGTCAATGTCTGTGTTCTGCAAATCTCATGTCTATCTTATTCATTGCTGTGTCTTATTTGCTAGCACTCAGCTTTACATATAGTAAAATGCCAATAAATATTTGATGATATTCTCATGGCTGTTTTCTGACTTGACTGTGTTCCAAAACCATCAGTATTTAAAAGTTGAATGATAAATTATGAATTGTGTAAAATTTCAAAGTGATGCTGTGAGAAGTAGCACAATTTGTGTTAATGTTAGCATTATTAAATAAAGCTGATAGAAGAAAGGAATTGTCACAGAGTGTGGAATTCAGAGACAGTGTTAGGAAAAAGTTAGAAGGTAAATGCCTAAAACATGTGTGATTCTTACAAAGACAGTGAGAAATGTAGTACACATCCCAAAGAAACCATGGAAAATACAGGTGGTCGTGGTTGTGTCTTTAGCATCTAAAACAATTCAAAACAGAACGAAGCAGTGCACGTAACTTTAAATAAAGTGGAACTGTATCTGTAACCGTTGGAACTATATGATACTTCCTTCAAAAGGCAGAGCATAAATTTTCTCCTACTGAGCATGGGCTGGACTGGGTGAGTTCTAGCTGCAATCAAAGCAAAGAAGGAGTGAAGGTATGTAACTCTGCTGGCTTTGGACAGGAAGGCTCTGTAGAAGCCTGCTTAAGCTCACCAGTGAATCACTTATGATGAAGTCAGCAGCTCCTGTGAGGTGAGGATACACAAATGGCTAAAGGAGAGGCCTCTGTGTTGAGTGAGAAGCCTGGGATTCCAGTTAAAGGGCTCTGCCCTGAACCACCTCGCCAGCAGATGCTACACCAGGTGACTTTCTCCTGGAGGGTCCAAGTGACCTTTCATTTTACTGTTTCTGTGTGGCTCATTTAGCAAGCCTGCTACACATTGGAAAAAGGTTAAACATAGTGTTTTAAGTGAGTCATGTAATCAGTGACTGAATGAATACAAGGGTAGAAAGGAATAGAAGTTATTATTTTCCTTGCCCATTTCTGTGACTGTTACCTGGATTACCGTCTTACTTATACCCAATATCATCACTGTTGTCAGTATGCAGTTACTCAGCCTCTCTGTGCCTCAGCTCTTTCATATCTAATTAGGGACGGTGTTCAAAATCAAGATCACCAACATACAGTTTAGGTTCAATTAGTTAATGTACAAAAATCAGTTATAACAATTAACAATACATATAAAGGTATGAAGAGAGCTACCATTATGCTACAGTTCTCTTATAAAGGCAGATGCCACATCAAAGGCTAAGGGCTCAGTTACTGGTTTGGATATTTTGGATATGAATATTTCTCTCCTCTCACATTCTGTGTTACTGAAAAGAATGTATCATAGGATCTGCTTTGTAGGATTCCAGGAATTATCTCAGTCAGTACAGGTGAAATGCTTTGAACATTATAATTTAGACAATAAAAAGATTTTAGAAATCAGTTCTTATTGTCGGTATTTAAGTAAATGACTCTATATAGATTTATGAAATGAATTTGATTGATGGCTGAACTATTCAGAAATTAGAAAGAATAATATCATCATATTGAATTAATTGCAAATATATTACATTCTCAAGAAATACTACCTGGAAAAGATAAATTTTTCGTAGAAGTTTTTCCTATGAAAATTTATAAAAATGTATTCTCTTTTTCTACAAAAAGATTATTGCCCGTTTTCCGCTTGATACACAATGAATAAAGCCAAAACCAAATTTTTAGTGTAGCTGAAGGAAACCAAAACCAAAATGAATTACTTTGTAAGAGGTGGAATGACATTTGATTAGGGAAGCCTTCTTAAACCAGACCACAGGCATACTCACAGCTGGACTCTTGACTGAGATACTGTGCAAACCCAGCCAGGTGCATGCTCACCTAGGGTGTTGGAGTGAACAGCAACTTCTGAGATGAAACCCTTAGCCTTTGTGTGGGTGTGTACAACGACCCTGTAGCTATAACCAAGCCCATTATGTTTTTCGGCACCTTACCTACATAACCTCTACCCTGTAAATCAGCCCTAAAACATTATTCACTTATTCAACCTTTGCTCCCTGTTGCAAATTTTTAAAATCTACTTTTGAAGTTACCTAGAAACCACCAGCTGGAATTAACTATTGAAAGAAAATGAACTAGATAAGCGTTGTTACCAGGAACCCTTATCTGTCACCTTTCCTTAGTTTTCTGGAGCCTAGAACATTGTATTTTCTACATATACCATGAAAGAATGAACAACTAATTTCATAATATTTCCTTTAAACAGGAATAAGGATTAACTTGCAGGAAAACAATGTATTTATCTAAAAATAGGGGTTGTCATAATATGAAAGTTGTTTTTCATTTCAAGTATGTTCTAGCAGAAGAAGAAAAACTGCAAAGAAAACAGGCCCTGGATGACTGACCAACTCAGCATGGAAACTTTTACTCCCTGTAACAGCCCTTTTTGTTTACATGAGATCCGGAAGATAGTCTCCTTCTCAGAGGATGGAAAATATTCCCATCATTCATTCCTTGAACAAAGTATTTATTTCCCAACAATTCTTGTCTCCTAAGGTTTGGATTTTGAACCTAAGCAGCCTAGCAAGGCTTGTAGCAACCTCATTTTCTTCCCTGGACGGACCATTCCATCCAGGGAATTGCCTCCATCCATGAGGCAATTTTAACTCTGTAACATCCTTCAGACTTTTTTCATAAATAAATAATGCAATTAACCCCCACCCCATGAACTTTCAGCCCTAAAAACAGACAGCACCTTGGAAGCGACTGGTGCTCATCTTTGTAGCTCCTTGAATCAGATGTCGCCATCAAGAACCATTCTTCTTTTCAGTCCAGAGCTTAAAGACATATTTACAAACATGTACTCTTACTTTCAAATTTCATAAATTATCATACATTAAAGCAAACTTTGTTGAATGACCCAAGGTGGTATTACTGCAGACAGAGGAAGGCATAAATTTTCAGAGGTAGAAAACAGAGGGAAAGAAGATAGTCTGTGGCCCCCAAATCTGTTTAGGTTGACATTCAATCTAAACAGAATTGCAGCAAACACGGTTAATGATGAGTGGAAGAGGCATGTTATTTAGGCGAAATACAAAAGTGAAAAATTCTGGGTTAATTTGAAATACTTTCCATGAAGATGTAAATCTATCACCATCACAAAATCCTCCAGGTCCTAAACATTATAACTTCCCAAAGGTGGGAGATATTAATGTTGATTAGGTCAGCACTCGGTAGCCATATATTCCTGCAGGAATGAATTAGAAGCATCTCTCCAAATGATTTGAGAGAGGAATTATTTCTATTCCTTATACTGCAGAAGGGGGGACAATTTGCAGCAACACCTTCCTCAGGGCCAATTTCACATCTTTGTTTCTCAAGGAATAAATCAAAGGATTCAGGCAAGGAGTGATGACATTATTTAATACTTGAACTGCTGCAGCCAGCCAAGGGCTGGAAGCTGGACAGAGATAGATGAGAATCACAGGCCCATAGAAGAAGAGGATTGAAGTTAGGTGGGCACTGCAGGTGGAGAAGGCTCTGCGCCTGCCTTCTGAAGAACGGATTTTCAATATGGACAGAACAATGCGAGTGTAAGAAGTGAGGACAAGAAGAAAACATGTAAATGAAACGACACCTACATTGGTGAAACTCAACATTTGTGCTAGGGAAGTGTCTGCACAGGCCAGGGGAAGCACCACCGGGATATCACAGAAAAAGCCGTCCGCCTCATTGGGGCCACAGTAGGGCAATCTGAAGATGAAGAACGTGAGGACAGATGCATGCAGACAGCCCCCTAGCCAAGTGCCCATGGTCAGGCCGGTACACACCCTGTGGCTCATAATGACCATGTATCGCATAGGGTGACAGATGGCAACGAATCGGTCATAGCCCATCACGGTATAGAGGAAACACTCAGTGCACCCCAGGAAGTGGTAAAAGAAGACCTGGGAAGCACAGCCCTGGTAAGAGATGGTGCGGCTTTGCCCCACTAGGAAGACCATCATCTTGGGGGAGTTCACAGAAGGGAAAAATATGTCAAACACAGACAGGCTGGCCAGGAAGAAATACATGGGGGTGTGGAGGTTGGAGGAAGCCAGAATGGTGAGGAAGATGATGAGATTTCCCAGCAAGGTGAAAACATAGAAGGTCAAGAATAGAACAAATAACATGGTCTCCAGCCCTTCTATATTAGAAATTCCCAGCAGAACAAACTCTGTCACAGTGGTGGAGTTCCCAGTCTTCATGTAGAAGATGATCCTGAAAAGCAAAGCAATACTCATGCATTAAGACCACAGGAAGTAAGACTATCTTCCTGACAAAGTGACTTTCATTTAGGTCAATCTCTCCTTGCAAAAGGGGAAGAAGAGCTGAGGACCTGTAATGAAAGTGCCATTAAGGTCAAATTTAGAAACGTGTGATATTTGGCCCCACTTCTTTAAAATGCTAAGTGAGGTAATAACAACTTGTGATTTCAATATGTCAATAACTCTTATGCATGCATATAAATATTAAGCATAAAGACACATGATATAATCCATTCTGTTTACTGTTACTTTCCATTTTGTTTCCATTCTTCCTAATTTTTATTCAAAAAAGATAACAATTCATATTTCACTATGCTTTTATACAGATACCAAAGGTAGATGGAGAGTAGAAAAAAATTGCACTGATGTTAGAAATAACTGCAACATTCTTCTAGTAGTTCTCTTTCCTGGGTAGAATTAGAGTCTTACTGTGAGTCCATTTGATGATCCTAAGAAAAAGCAGAATTTCCTGAAACCCAGATTTCATCTTTGCATTTTATTTTATCTTATTAAGCCCTAATTTGCCAGTAATTACAATTCTGTGATCAATATATATTACACAAAACATTGGATAAATCTATTGATTCTACTTTATAGATGGCTGCTTTGACAATACTTCTGGTATTATTCCAATATTTGCAAAGGGAAAGGATTATACAATAGATAAAAATCTCGGTAAGTGAAATAAAAAGCAAGAATTGAGGTGAAGGAAGCAGGAATTCTTCATAACACCACTGTGTTCAACCCCATAACCAGGCTCCGGGCAAGCCTAGCCTTCTGGGTTTGAACAGATTGACATCCCAGCAAAGATATACACAGGAAGTCAAAATACTCTTGTCTGGCCCAAAATCTAATTAGCCATTGTTTTAGGCCATGGAACTCAATATAATTTCACATACATTTTTTATCTGCCTGCTAGAGAAATAGAATACAGTTCCACCCCTTGAAGAACTTACTCTAGAGGTCTATAAAACTGATTGTGAAGGCAGCCCTGAGTATGGCACCATGATCAAATTAATCTCTCTGAGATTCACTTCTTTCCAAAAAAAATGGATATTGCTTGTATATAGCTTATTTGTGAGGATAGTGACACTCTATGAAAATAGATTACTATGCTCAATGCCTGGCACTTAGAACTAAATAGGTAACAGAGGTAGCTCAGCAATTGAAACTCATACCGATAACAATTAAGAGTTATAATGTAATTATAAATAGGTTCAAGTGTGATGAAGATATATTTGAAATGGACTTTAAAGAAAAAGTAGAATCTTAAAATTTATTTCAGCCCTAAATATTGTACATTTATATAGAATCCATATGATTTAAAAGCCATTGCAAGACACACAGGTCAGGAAAATGTTATTTCCTTGAGACTCTACATGGTTCATATATAAATATTCTGGTGGAATTAAGAACCTGATAAGCTAGAAGTGTATAAAATCCCTCTATCTGAAAATTTTTGTTTCTGTCAGTCAACAACTTCACACTGTTGAATGACAAAGATGTTTGGCACTTATTGACAGCAGGAAATTGTAAATATCACAAGTTAAATTAGGTGCATGATCAGGGATCACACTATCCCACTTATACTCGGGGCTCAACACTCTACCTCCAGGAACACCAAGTATTTACCATCACAGAAGTCCATGACTAGGTTCACCTAACATAAAAAAGGTCTTTTGAAATGCAATGAATTTCTATCTTAGATGTCAGGTAAAATCTATATGACCTACTTTCAGGGGAAGCAGAAGAGGGAAGAATTCTCTTTTTCAGACTGTAAACGAAATATTTTCTTCTATTTATGAATTCTAAAATGCATATTACTAGCTTTTGGAAAGGTTTTAAATTGACTCACCACACTATCTGTTATCTGCTAAGTTTTTACCCTTTGGTGGGACAATGGAAACATATACCTCTGTTAAAACTAATTCCTATGCATGACTACATATTAACTAAAGATTATTTCCAATCTGTATACTAATGGCAAAGTAATAATCCTAAGGAAAGAATCTATCTTCTTGAATACCACCTACTTTCCCCCACAAATCATTCTATACACACACATACACATACACACACACTTACACATACACACACACACTTATCTCTAGCATTCTTCATTGCTCTCTTGGTGCTGTTTTACTAAGAGTCTGATTGTGGCCACTTGTAAGCATTCTCATTTCCATGGTTCCCCCTCCCCTTGACTGAGCAGGTGAAGTGACCAGGAACAAGAGTCTGAGTAACACAGGGGAGCAATGAAAAGAGCAACCTAAGCAGAATGCTAAATTACAGAGCAGACAGAGGTTTAGACACAAATAAGCTGAAGGAAATTAAATCTAATGTTAGTAGAGAGATTTTTTGTAAAGATTTTTGGTGAAAAGGATATATTCCTGAAGCCAGAACTGTTTTTTGTATTAGAGGCTACAGCATAGAACCAAGATATTGTACCTTCTGCATTTGAGTCCAAGACACAGATCCCACACACAGTCCTGCCATTAATTTTGTCCTGAAAGTTTCCATTTTTAATGCTTTTGAACAGAAGAGTATCGATGATCCTGGTTCCTTTTGAGACAAATCTCCCCAGTGGCCCAATGTGCAGACCCAGAAGGCATGATAGAGCAAAGGGAGTAATTAGAGACTTTCACAGCGCTCCTTGAGCTCTTTTCCATTCCTTCCCTCATTTGTTTATGATCTGACATATTTATTGTGGAAATAATATGAAAATTTTAAACTCATTTGGTAAATATTCAACAACAAAGGAAAAACCCATGCTTCATCAATCTTAACCAATTTGAAGTCTTCTTTGCAATCTTTCCATAACAGCTTTGGTATGTCTTTAGCATATACATATAAATGTATGCTTTGGTTTAACTGAATATTTATTAACATTTTTTCAAAATATTTTCCATGTCACTCAATTGTTCAACTATCATTTTTTACTATAACATTAGATCTACACTTCATATGTGTCTGTTCTGCTCAACCATATTTATTTTGGGGGATATTTAATGATTTTTAGGTTTTCTCGGTGTTTGTCAGATGTGCAACTATAGTCAGAGAAAAGGATGCAGTTAGTTAGATACATAGATACATAGATGAAATTCACATGGTAGGCTATTATTTTTAAGAATATAAAAGTCACCAAAAAAGAAGAGCCATAAAATTAATGAATACTGTATCTCTGTACAGTTTTGAATGTAATGTTTCAATCTGAGTCAATTTTACTAGATTTTTATATGAACGTGTTTATAAATATTAAAAGTATTTTCACAAGCAATTGACTCCAGCCATTGCTTAATATTCATTTTTTGTTTTACATCAATTTAGCTATATTTAAAATTTCTATTTATTATTATATAGCAACTAAATCCATGGATAGTTAGCATAGATAAGACAAACAGAGGGAATAGAACACAAAGCATAAAATACAGTGATTATGTATGGATTTTAATCAATTCAAGAATAAAACAAAAATCCATCAGAAATATTTTTCATCAAATTCAGATAAGATTCTTAGGTGAACAAACAACAAAACTAATCACTGAGTAACATACACACAATTAAAATCAAGTTCAAAGATAATGTAAACTCAAGTCTATATGGAAAATAATTTTATTTTTGCAAGTTAGAGAAAAATCTTTCAACAAAGGTATAGGAAGTAATAGCTATAAATAGCATTGCAATTTTGAGTACTTTAATATTGAGAATATCATTAAATGAGTAAAAAAGAAAAAGAAATGTTACCTTATCAAATACAACTATCAAGGATTTATAAATAAAACAGACAACTTTTAAATTTTATATTAAAAAGATCCAACGTGAATATAAACAAATGCTGCAGCATAGATCTGAAATACCTTGCAAAGGGCCACATACAGAAGCCTTAGTGTCTGCCCTTGGCACAACTGCCAAAAGAAATGCAGCCTAATGGAGGGTAAGGTGCAGGTATCCATGAAGGGAATATTGTGACCCTGGACCCTGCCTCCTTTTCTTTGCTGTGTTCTGCCTCACCATAAACCCAAAACCAGCAAAGCCAACTAACCATGCACTGAAACCCCTGAAACTGTGCATTGAAATCTCTAATGCAACTGGCGTAAGCAGTGATTGGTCCATAAATGTGCACAGTCTGGACACTGGGGTTACTAAGTTATAAGGGATAAAAAGAAATAAAAATGTTTTGATCTGGAGTCTTCTGCTCAGGTGTTATGGCTTGTATCTGCATCTCCCCCAAGCCTCATGTACTCATAGATAAGGCTTTTGGAAGGTGGCTGGATCATAGGTGTGTGGCACTGGTGTTAAGTGTGTGTAGTACTGGATTAGCATACTAACTGGTTTGTCATAGTTCTAGGTGTGGTTAATGGGAAAGCCCAAACTGGTTGTGGTACCATGTAAAAAGCCTGTATCCTGGATGGCATAACAGGAAAAAAGGCTGGTTGTTGTCTTTTGTCTACCCTGCCATGGACTGTTTCACCTCTGGATGCCCTTCATAAAGGCACACTGTCTTGGAGTCACCAAAGTATAGAATGAAGCTTCTGCAAAATGTGAGCCACAACCAACCTTTCCTGCTTTAACTTGTGGGTGTCAATATTTTTGTATTAGGAACAAGAAACAACTAAAACATCAGCCTAATTTTCCTTTCATTACAATTAAAAACTGAAAATAAAATGTCATTTATTTTTATGGGAAAAAGAAATTTTGCAAACTTGAAAAAGCAGTCTATGAACATAAAACACATGGCAAAATAAATGCAATGTAATTAATTATATATTATCTATAATCTAGATGCAAATTATTATAAATTGTGTATTTGTAATATGACTGTCATTTTCATGTATAATTCTCATTCCTTTAGATGAAGAATCACACCAGTATCTAATACATAATCGGTATAGTTGAGATCACCTTTATGAACTGAAGTCCTTTGAAGAGGCAGCTTCAAA